ATATTCCAAAAGGCTGTTAAGAAGGTTTTGGAAAGAGTAAAAAAAACATTGTTGTCTATCAAGTTGACATATGTATTGGCGTTCATACTGAGGAGTAGCTAAAGAATACAATGGAACAAGTTCTGAGCAGACTGAGTAATGCAGGCATAACAATTAATCGAGATAAGTGTAAATTTAATTTTGAGAAAATTTCATAATTAGAGTATCAAATATCTAAAGATGGGATCTCACCAGATGACAGACTAATTAGCAAAATATCAGAAGTAAGTACACCTAAAAATAAGAAAGTGTTAAAATCTTTCTTGGATTTGACTAACATCCATAATAAATATATACCTCAATATAGTGGCATGGTTGAACCTTTTGCAAACTTGAGAAAGAAAAATAATGAATTTCAGTGAACTGAAAAACAGGAATTGGCCTTCAAAAAGCTAAAGGAAACACTTAGAAACAAGCCAGTAGTTAAGGTATTTGACAAAATCAAAGAACTCACACTAACTACTGATGCTAGCAAAAAGTTCTATAGCAGTGATCTTATCACAAGAGGTACATCCTATTATGCATTTGTCCAGAAAGTTGATGGTAGCAGAGATAAATTATTCTAACACTGAAAAAGAAGCACTACCAATTGTCTGGAGTACTGAAATTGGGTAAGAAATTTCTACTAAAGTCAGACCACAAGCCCTTAGAGTTCATTTTCAACCTGAGGAAGGAGTTGCCTAAAATCACATCGTCTAGAATTTTGAGGTGAGAGTTAAACTTATGGCATTCAATTTCTACATTATGTATAGTAAAGGAAATGCCATTCCACTTGTAGATGCATTGTCAAGATAGGATTTTAATACCCAGAATGTTGAAACAAAAGACAATTGTGAGGACAGAATTTTGCACTGGGAAGTTATCCTTCAGGCGGCTTAAGTTTGAAACCAAGCAGGATCCTGTATTAAAAAGAGTAATGAATAGAATATAGAATAATATATAGAGCAATTGCTCTATGGCAGAAAGGTCTTTTAAGTAAGTAAGGTACAGATTGACAACTGAGGAATCATATGTAGTGGAGATCATATTGTACACTACATATGAATATGTGGCTAGATGTTTTAATTCCAAATGGCAGTCGTTAAGAAAAGATATCATTAAAGCAGTACACAATGACATACATGGTGAGGTTGAAACTACAAGCCTGGTGGACAGGGTATATGTGAGACGTAGAAGATTGTCAGAAAATATCCTAAGTGTGCAAACATAAAAACTTTAGGCAAACCATGATTCATTCATGGCTAAAGGAGAAGGAGCCATGGATAAGAGTACACATGGATCATTCACACATTAAAAATGTAGATCTATTCCTCATACTAGTAGACTCATATTCAGGTTGGCTTGAAATGGTTAAAATTTTGGACAGAAAAGCAAGTACAGTAAAACAGGTGTTCAGAGTAGTATTTTTGAGCAATGGAGTACCCAAGACATTGATGTCGGATAATGCACCATTTTGCTTAAGAAAGCTTATATACGTGGTTAATATGAATTGGATGTACAAAACACCCCCATACCATCCTCAGTCAAATGGAATTGCGGAGAGGGTGGTCCAGACACTAAAAGTTGGACCAAAAGCATTCTCTCCAGGGAATTGCAACCTACAAAGTTATCTATGAAGGTTGATTTTAGTTACAAGACCACCCTGTATGCAGGCAGAACACAAAGCCCCTCAGCATTAATGGGAAGGCAAATTAGAGCCCCCAATAACCATGTTTTTCACAACAAGTGAGAATGTATGGTACAAAATGAATATGAATTTGAATCCTGAGAAAGCACAATTTGTAGTACAAAAAAGATTTAATACAGTGGTATTAACAAAAAATAAATGGGGAATGTTAATTCATGATTTCCAGTTTAGATTTCAAAAAGAGCTGAAAGATATTGAAATAGAGGAAGAGCCTGATGCAAAAGAGAAAGATCAGGATTATCACCAAGAATTGGAAAGTAAAGGAGAAGAGAGAATGAGTGTGTAGTGATAATGAGGAAGATTTAAATGAAGAAAATCTGATAAGACTGATATCCCTTGTGAAGAGGAATCTAGGCAATTACCATGAGACAATCGGTACACATCCTGGAGTAGTTTATCAAAGTAGCAGATCTACCAAGGGTATAAAGCCTCTAAAGTTCCAGGAGATGTGATACTATGCAAATTAGATGCTATATAAGTGGAAAGAGTTCTACACTCAGAATGTAGCTATCTTTCCTTGACTACACTGCATTCTTGTCGGAACTTTACATAAAAATTTTCCAAGTTCATGTAGGATCACCTTTCTCAGACCTCAAAACCCAAGGAGGAGTTCCACAAAGTTAACTTCTGTCTGTCACTCTTTTTAGCATAAAAATTAACAACATTGTTAATTGCATAGTTACCAAATTATGCTAAGCAAGCACCAGTCCATTAAATTAACAAGAGGAAATAGAAATTATTAAAAATCTTTATGTAGACGACTCACACACATATATGGACAGGTCTAAAAATGGGAATAAAGTTGACTGTTCAAATTGGAACATTAAAACCATAAATGACTACTAGATGAGTCCTCAATCTACAGTCCATTAAACAAATTTTAACAAATCCATATTTATATCAGTTCAGGATAAAATAGCAAAATCCTCATTTAAAATGAATAAGTTAGATCTATCACTAAAAACAAAAGTAGAAGATGTTAAAACACATCAGCATCCTGGGTATATGGACAGGTCTCTGAAATGGGGTTTTGAATAACCATTTAATTGCTGTTTCAGGTCCACCCCTGACCCAGGGTGGAACAGGGTCCCATTATAAGCAAATAGTTAATATTGCCACTACTTTTTTGTAAAGAATTATTACCAGCAATAAAAAGTTGTCAATTAAATAACCCATTGAGGTTGATTATGCCATAAAACAAAATAAACCAAACCAATCTAAAGCAAATAATACATATTCTCCTCATATGAATCTATCCTAAAAATGTTGTCGGCATTAAATAACCCATTGAGATTGATATGCCATAAAACAAAATAAACCAAACCAAAAAACAAAGAAATTATATTCTGTTGGATACCGAGTCACACAGACAAAGCAGCAAAGAAATCATTAAATATGGAACTATCATATAAAAAAAACCTGTACAATGATCTCTGACCAACTGTTAATAAGATTAGTAAAGAAAAATTGTAATAGTTATAGAATAACTGTCATAATAATAAACTACACAATATTCAACCAATCATCAGTGAATATTTTTCTGGCTAGGAAATGATAAGAAGAGAGGAGGTGGTTCTTGCTAGGCTCAGTATTGGATATAAACATGTTACAGACATTTGAGAAACGAAATCCCACTAATATGTGTGCCATTTCAGTAGTGTATACAGTCAGGCACATACTGTTGGAATGTTGTGGGGAAATCTGAAACAAGCATTACAAAACAATCATAGCGAACTTTTTTGAAACCATTAAACCAGATAAAGTACTGCAATTTGTCGAAAAGATTAGACTTTACAATTAAATATAAAATAAAATAATAAAAACTGTTTATAAGTGTTTACACAAATAAAAAACTCACCTTCAATCATTCTTTACAAACAGTAAAACTTGTTTTCAAACCCTGACAGACAATAAAAATTTTCCCCACAACCATATCTGAAGAACTATAAAACTTATTCTCATCCATACTTGACCAACTCTAAAATATTTTTTTTGTTTTGGCTGTCAATGACCCACAAAAGTTTGAGGATTCATTTAACATAATCAATCTAATGCAATAAAAACAAAGCCGAAAAAGATTTGAGCAGTTTATGGAGAAGTTACTGTGAATCATCTAAAGTGTCAAAAGTGGTTTGCAAAAAATTAAATCATTACTTTAGAATAATCAGCATTATATTCTGCAGGAGATAGACTATCTACTAACTATACCAATGGCAAGTCTCCACCCAAAAACATAATATTCTAAATAGGCTGAGATTGGATGGGGGGGGGTGCTACTCTATCATGAGCTTCTTTCAAAGAACAAAGCAAGTGATTTGAACAAGTACTGCTTCCAATTTGACCAGTTAAAAATAGCAATAAAAATTTCTTTTCATTTGTTCCATTAAAATAATGCTAGGCTGCATGTTTTAGTGTAAATCTCTTTCACCATTTTAGTCTGGTTTTTAGAAAATTCTCTTCATGAAAAAACTTTAATTCCCTAGAAGACTGCAAAAGGCACCTTGAGTAATTCTTTGCTAAAAAGTTCTAGTATTATTTTCTTTGAGAATTAGAAAAATTTTTGTTCCCCAGGAATCAAAGCAGCAGGTTTCCTGGAGTTATAATGGTCTGCTCAGGCATGAGCTAACATCCCCTAGAAAATACCTTACAATGAAGTGAATTTATATTGACCTTGAAAGTTTGTGACTGCTCAATACCAAATTATCACAGTAGCATGTGCTGTTATATACTGAGCCAAGAGCACAATCATTGAAAAAAATATACAAAAATGTTTTTGAAATTTTACACTTTGAAATTAATTGGGCTATGCCAATGAGAGAGAGAAGAGAAAGTATTGTTTTTAAGCTAAAATTGTTTGTCTGTTTTTCTCTTCTCTCCATTTCAGTTTGGTATCTTGTATATTTAAAACTTATATTAACTGTGGGCAATAAAATGGTGATACTTCACTGCATGCTATCTTATCAGGTTGTAGTATCTATCAAAACTCTCTTTAATGACCAGAGTACTTTCCATGTAATTGATTCTCTAAGTAAAGTAAATTATACAAGGGGGTGCTGAAAATTTTTCAGTTCAATCCATTTCCCAAAAACTGAACAAACAACTAATTATCAGGTTTTTCTTTCTTTTCATGTTCTTTTTTTCTGAAAAAACTTTTCAGCACCCCTTCATGTTTTAAAAGTTTCCTGTTATATTGCAACACATCAAATTTATTTTTTATTTTACTGTTCTTAACTTGTTTTTAAATCTTAATTCTTCCCGTGTTCTCTCATGACAGGTGTGATCAGTGCTTTGGACATAGGATTATCAAACTGGAGCTTTGAATTTATCACAGTTTCTTTGTAAGTAGTAACAATCTTTCTTTCTGGAATGAAATTTTGGCAATGTTTAACATTTGTATCCTCGTAAGAAAACCCTCTATTATTGTATAATCCCTCGGCAAATTTTTTTGTTTAAAACCATTTTTTGAATTTAAAAACAAAAGCTATTTTCTTGAGAATTGACAACAAAAGAATTAAAGCCTATCTAAAAAAAAGCAGTTTTCAATTAATTTTAAAAATGTATTCCCTCCCACCTCTTGTATTTATACATGCACACACTTAATGTTGATTTAACTTTTTTCTTTTCATTTCTTATCCAGGTATACCATGTGTAAATCTACAGCTGTTATTTTTATACTGGGATTTTCTCTATTATTTAAATTAGAAAAATTTGTAAGTAATTTTCATTTCAAAATCTATTAAATATTTATCTTTCAATATATTCTTGCTTTCATGTGTGTTTGTGTGATATATATATATATATATATATATATATATATATATATATAGCAGGTGTACACAAGTGAATGCACATCTGTAGAGAGAGGCACATGACTGCTTGCACACATGAACACAAAAAATACAGAAAAAACATACACCTATGTTAAATGTATATTAAAAAGGAAAAAAACATAAGCAGTAAATTGCTGATATTTGCTGAAGAGTGGATGGCCAGGTCCGCCTACAAAACTCTGGAGTTGGGATGCTGAAAGCAACATCAATCAGCTAAGTGACAAATTTTACTTACATTAATATGATATATATATTACTTACATTAATATATATATATATATATATATATTAAATAAAACAGCTTAATTAATATTGAAAAGTAGTCATTCAAAGAATAAATCAAAGTTAATGTAATTAATAACAGTAACTTCGCTAACAGATTAAATAAGGCATTAGCTCACTGAATGACACAATCCTTGTTTTTATTAATTGTATCACATTCATTTTCATCTTGGAATTTTACCCGAAATTACTAGAAACTGAGAAAAAAATAACATCTATGCCTGAGGATGATAAATGTTTACCAAAAGTACTTGCAATATAGACTGAACATGTAATCCATTTTACAATTAATAAAAACAAGATTGATTGCTGTATGCTGATGATTTTTTCCTTATTTTCCATGATATTTTTGATGTGATTTGCATTTTGTTTGTACAGAAATCAATCCAAAACCTGCAAACTTTGCTTGGAGGAAAGAATAGCTATTATTACCTTCCCAGACCAAAACAAACTACTAAATAAACGATCTGAACTCATCTCAAAATGCAGACATGAAAACAAATTTTTACTATGTTACTTAAAAATCGAAGACTGAAAAGAATAAATAAAAATAAACGAGTAAAATAAATTAACCCAAGCAAATAATAAACAAATTAACAAACCACTTCCATTAGAATAGATGAAAAAGAATAAATAAAAATAAAAAATAAGAAAAAATAATCAATCTAAATAAAGTAAGTAAATAATAAACAAATTAACAAAACACTCCTGCCAAAATAACCATTAGAATAGACTACAACAATCAATCCAAAAATTTGACAAAAATATAGCTATAACTACTATATAAACAATCAAATTTTTACTACTTTACTTAAAAATTGAAAACCAAAAAGAATAAATAAAAATATACAAAATAAAAACAAGTAAAATAAATTAATCCAGATATATAAGCAAATTAACAAACCACTCCTGCTAAAATAACCATTAGAATAAATAAAAATAAATGAGCAAAAACTAGTAAAAATAATCAACCCAAATAAATAAAATAATAAACAAATTAAAAAAAAAAAACTACCCAGCCAAAATAACAGTTAGTATAAACTACAGCAATCAATCCAAAAATTTGGACAAAAATAGCTTTAATTACCTTCCCAAACCAAAAAAAAACTATGAAATAAACAATCTGAACTAATCTCAAAATTTTTTTTTACAATTTTACTAAAACATTGAAAACTGAAAAGAATAAATAAATATATAAAATAAAAAATAAAAATAAATAAAAAACAAGTAAAATAAATTAATCCAAATAAATAAATAAACCACTCCTGCTAAAATAACCATCAGAATAGACTACCCACAATGCACCACTGAATTGTATAAATAAATAGTTGAAAAAAAAACTCAACACGTGTGGCTTGATGTTTGTGTCTAGCATGAAACAGTCTGTTGCCTTTGAGTGGTGATTTCAATGTTCACTTTTATATTTACATACACTCTATCTCTGATATTAAGCACTTTAAATATAGCACAACTTAAAACTTTCTTCACATTTTATTTATATATATATATATATATATATATATATATAAGAGAGAGAGATAGTTTGAGAGGTCCAATCTCTGTGTTACTAGCTGTGATCAGTTTATTAATTATTGTCTTTAGGAGGCTGGTGGTGTTTTTGTTTAGATTTTTAAATTTATTTTTGTCAATGAGAATGAAGCCAATTTTTTTTGTTGTAGTCAGTCATGTTTAGGTTAACGAAAGTGTTGGATTTGTCACTTTTCTTAATGTCTTTATTATGATTTTTAATTCCTTGTAATCTTGTTTTTATTTTTAATCCAAGTGGGTTAATATACATTTATTTTTAATTTAATTTTTTTTTTTTTTTTTTTTTTAACAAAACTGCTAATTTATTTTACAATTCTGCTAATTTTAATTATTTACATTGTGTCATGAATGTTTGAAACTGCTTAGATGACATCTTGTCTTAGTTTAAGGTTAAAAATTTAAATTCTTGACATATGTCATTTCATTATTTGACAGTTTAAGATAAACTCCTGAAAATTTTTTATATATATATATATATATATATATATATATATATATATATATATACACACTCCATCCAAAGAAAAGTGATACCTATGGTTTAAAATCAATTCTTAAGAAAGAAAAATCTTTCTTAAAGCTTTTGTTTTAATTTCAAGCTAATAGATTAAAATTAATATTTTCAATAGACAAAATACTTTGCTGTATTTCAAAACAAATTTAAATTTATTGAAATGAATTTGTTTATTTTTTATTTTTATTTTTTTAAATCATTACAAATGTCTGATTTTTACCATATTTACAATTTGGTCAGCACAACATAATTCTCTTTATCAAAAAATATTTTAAAAATACAATATACTTGGGGTCAATTAGTTGATTTAAAGTTTAAATTAATCTGATTTTAAACAAATATTACTTTTAGTTTAAAATATTACAGAAAGTCAGTTATGTGCCATGCGTGATACACACTTAGGCGATCATGTATCTCTTGATACATGACTGATGAGGCAGATTTTTTCCCCACAGTAGCTTGCCCTTTCTTTCTGAAGTAGACCCATTACCATCCAAGGCTATAAAACCTTGTCTGCCCTGCTACTTACCCATATCTGCGGGGAGAAGAAGAGGATTCATACCTTTCCCAAGGGTGTTAGCATGTAAGGAAATGTAATGGATTTGACTGGAATTTGAACTCTTAATTATAGACAAGGCTGGATAATGACTTTTTGAGGCCCTAAGGCAAATGAAATTATGGAGCCCTTCCTCAAACCAAGAGTGGCTTCACAATATATTAAATATTTGTAACTCACAATATAATTTAGCAACATTTACATAGCTTGAAATAAACTTATTGCAAATTCTTTAAATAAGCAAAAATAGTTTGTCAATAAAAATATTCTTTAAGAAATACCACTATTTTACTATTTTACTATTTATTTACTATTTTACTATTTATTGCAAACTAAATTAGAACATAATTCAATACAACCATAGTAAAAAAAAAAAAAAAAACAGGCTTTTTATAACCAGCATTATAACAATAAAAATAAATATGAGTTTGTGATTTCAGTTTGTTATAACATCTAGAAAATTAAAGTCATTGCTTGTGGGACCTTAGGCTGCAGCCTATACTGGCTTAAAGAATAATCCAGCCCTGTTTATATAAAACTATGCAAACATGTACTAGCATATGTAAAATTCAGTTATAAATAAATGTACCTACAAAGACAATATTAATAAAAGCAATGACAAGAGAAACTTTTTATACCAATGTATTTTGTTCTTTAAGGTACTTCACTAAGGCAAATGTAAAAAATTTTATTTAGGAACCAGTATTTATACAACAGAAAAAGTAACACTGAGAAAAATAATTTGAATTAGAGAACACTCTATAAAATATTCAAAACTCTGAGTTAAGGAAAAGAAAAAAAACCATGCAAGACACTAAGGGATATATAGTCAAACTTAGAGAGCCAGACAAACCTACCAAGGTTTCACCTAAGCGGATCACTTTTGCCAGCTTTCCCTGACAATCTGCTTAGGTGAAACCTTGATAGGTTTGTCTGGCTCTCTAGGTTTGACTAGGTCTGCTCTGCTTTTGTATTGAGCACTTTTTTAGTTAGTTGATTACTCATATCAGGGTTTTTTTCTTTGGGCTTTGGACCTGTATGCTGTACGATTATTTTTGACAGACGTTCATGTTCTTAGCTCTTTCTTTTTAGAACCTTTTTTTTCTTGAAATTGATTTGACCATTAGCAAATCAAGAAACCGAAGGTTTCCCAAGACGAGTGTAGTTACCTATATATATATATATATATATATATATATATATATATATATATATATTTATATATTATATTTGCTGCACTTATTGGAAAGTGCTCAATATCAATGATAGAGCTAACATATTTAGACAAACTCACATCAATCTAACTATATTTGCTTTGATAAAGTTTCTCAAGGAATAAAATGCATTGGCATGAAATGTTTTCCTTTGGTGTTTTGTTTATTAATGTAATAGTATGTATTATTATTTAGGAATTTTAAAACTGCAACAATATCATTCAATCTATTGCATTAAATTTCAGAAAAATTACTTGATATATATAATAATGTTTTCTTTCTTTTTTTTCTTTCTTTTTTTTTTTTTTCAGAGACCATCTTTAGTTTTGGTCGTGTTTTTTATATCTGGAGGTCTGTTTTTATTCACCTATCATTCTACACAGTTTCACATCATTGGCTTCATCCTCGTAATGTCTGCAACATTCTTGTCTGGTCTCCGATGGACACTTACACAAATCATGGCCAACCGCAGTGAGATGGGTTTGTACAAATAAGAAAAAATTAATTGCTTTTTCTAAACATTTACTTGTATATGAAAGACTTAGAGACTTTTATTTTTTTTAAATACCAGAAGTGTAGAAATTTACCTATTCGTAATTTTGTAACTTGTGGCTCATTTTAATGATAATTCACATTTAATCTAAATGGGAGAGATATATTTGGAGGTACAGAGGAGTAATGGATAATTTCTCAAATTTAGGAAGAGGAAAGTTAAGACCAAATTACAGTCAAGAGTTTTTTTACATTCACTTACATGTAAACATCCTTGGGAAATGTATGAATCCATTTCTTTTCTCTCCAGGTATTCGTAAACAGACTGGGTCCAATAGCCTTTGGTAACAACCAGTCTAGGAGAAGATCATGTCTAAGTTCAAAACTTGAGGAGTGTCGTTTTGAGACCTTGTGGCATACTGTTCACCAGTTCTCTGTATTCGGCTCTTCCAAAAAGTGTTGTTGGTTTTGCACAAGTTTTCACCACTATAATTAAATCATATGTTTGAGTAATCTGGCCATTCTGTTCCAAGAACGGAGTTGCTGTATCCTCATACATAAAAAAAAATGACAGGAGAGTCCAGTGTATATATATATATATATATATATATATAATCTTAAGGTGTGCTATATTTATGGGATAAAGTGCTCAATATCAGAGATAGTATGTGTAAATATAAAAGTGAACATTGGAGTTAACACAAAGAGGCAACAGGCTGTTTCATGCTAGACGCAATCGTCAGGTCTGATGATTGTGTCAACATGAAACAGCCTGTTGCCTCTGAGTGTTGACTCCTATGTTCACTTTATATATATATATATATATATATAACCTAGTGAGCCAAACAAACCTACCCAGGTTTCACCTAAGCGGATCGTCAGGGAAGCTGGCTCTGCTCTACGGTTGTATTGAGCTCTTTTAGTTAGTTGTTTACTTGTGTCGGGGTTTTTTCTTTGGGCTTTAAACCTGTATCTGTGTGATTTTTTTTTTTTTCAACAGACTTTCATGTTTCTAGCTCTTTCTTTTTTTTTAAAACCTTTTTCCTTCGAGATTGATTTGATTATTGGCAAATGAAAAATTCAAAGGCTTTTCAAAATGAGTATAGTTACCTATATATATATATATATATATATATATATATATATATATATATATATATATGACAAAATTAAATAGAACATTTTAACTGCTTACAAAATATTCAAACTTACTTCACAGACTCCAGTGATGTGGTGCATATTTTAAATTTGAATTTTGTTGTCTATGATCAGCTTTTCTTTTGTGGCATAGAAATATAATATCTGGTAGTAATTCAGTAGATTCATCAAACCCTCTGATCTGATTGTTTTGTGAAACATGGGAGCTGGTCAGTGATTTAAGTCTTTTGAACATTTACTAATTTATTGATATATCTATATTTCTACTCTCTCTCTCTCTCTCTCTATATATATATATATATATATATATATATATATATATATATATATAATTTCTTATGCACTGTTACATTAAAACATGTAAATTATCCACTACAAAATTGTACATTTTGTTTCAACGTTTCTTCAGGTGGCAAACAATGATGCTACTAAACAATTTTATTCAGAATTACGATTTATAAAACATAGCTTCACTTTCCATCTTTGGAAAATTTTCCATAAAAGGTAAAAATGATTTACATAAAGAGAAAGGAAAGAAAATAAGAAATTAGTAAAGAGAAAGAAAAACAAGAGAGAAAAACAAATAGTCAGGAGAAAACATGGAAATTAACAATATTATCAAAAGAAAAGACAAAAAGGGAAGACGGGAGAAATAGACAAGTACTCAAAATTACCCCAATACGTAAAAAGAAGAAAGTCAAGGAGATAAGAGTTAGAAAGATGTTGATATGAAATAAATCAATGAAATTCAGTTTAAGACAAAAAAAGAGTAGAAAAGCAAAGGAAATAGAAAAGTAAGGGATTCAACCAATGAAATTCTGTTGAATCAGGGAATTCAAATTTAAATGATAACATGGCATGGATGGTAAGAATGTAGCAACAAATTAGATTTACAATTCAATGGCATTTGTATATGAAGTCATGTATTCAAACATAATTATTCACAGAATGTAAAAGAGGACACTTTAAGAATTAATACAATATTTAACAAAATCAACTTTACAATATAAATTACAATACCAAGTAAATTTTAAACCTTTATATTATATTAATTCTAAAGTGTTATTAAAGAGGTTAGAGAAAAATAATCAAAATAAAATAATGTATAAATAATAAAATTAAAAATATCTATAAAATAAAATTAAGATAGAAATAAAAGTAAAATAAAATTAATATTAAAATTAAAATAAAATGAAATGTATAATTCAAGGCTAATCTTACTACTAGTGAGTTATAAATATTAACTAATCTGATGCCTAAAACTAGGATAAGTTAACAATGATAACAATGCAATGTTTATATAGATAATAACCATACCTACCTGTAACAGCATTCACTCGGGGTGGGTTGAGCCAGCTCCAATATTGGAGTTTCATGGGAATTTGGAATTCACTAGCGGTCCCCAACCCATAGCACATGAGATTTGATTATAGTGGTGAAGGCTTCATGCAGGACCATCCACACTTTTTGAAGGGCCGATTACAGAAACCAGGTGCACTACGTGCCACAAGGTCCCCAAACAGCCCTCTGCAGGTTTTTAATTCAGAGTTTTCCTTCTCCTAGACCAGTTGCCATCCAAGGCTATAGAACCCAGTCTGCTATTTACCCATAGCTGGAGGGAGAAGAGGATTCACACCTTTCCCAAGGGTATTAGCACGTAAGTGAATGTAATGAATTCGACTGGAATTCGAACTCAGCTCTCCAATTCCTCAATCCAAGCCGCTATCCATTACTCCACCGTGCCTCCTCCACCATAAGATTTATTTTAACAGAAAAGAAAGTTAAGAGACAACATATGAAAATTAACGATATTACCTATAGAAAAGACAAAAAGGAAAGACGAGAAATAGACAATTATACAAAATTACCCCAATTCATAAGAAGAAGAAAGTCAGGAAGGCAAGAAATAGCAAGAAGTTAATACAAAATAAACCAATGAAATTCAGTTTGAGAAGGAAGTAGAAATTTACTCAGGTTCATAAGAAGAGGAAAGTTGAGTAATACAATGCTTAACAAAACCAACTTTACAATATAAATTAGAATACCAAATAAATTTAAAATTTTTATATTATATTAATTATAAAGTGTTATTAAAGAGGTCAGAGAAAAATAATTAAAATAATGAATAAAATTTAAAAATATAAAATTAGAAATAGAAGTAAGATTAAAATTAAATTTAAAGTAAAATTAAATGAAATATATAATTCAAGGCTAATCTTACTACTAATGAATTATAAATATTAACTAATTTAATGCCTAAAACTAGGCTAAATTAACGATGATAACAATGCAATATTCATAAAGATAGTAAACATAAGAAGATTGGTTCTAAGGTTAAAAACTTTTTTTAGCAAGATTGTAAGGTTAATTCCTTTATGTGTTTACAACATATCATCATTTTATCTCTTTGTTTCAACAAAATGTCACTATTTGAGAATTTAATTATTTCCATTTTCTCATGTAGACAGAGAAAACATGGTTCATTTAAAGACCTTGAGATTCTAGCTAGTTTTAGAATTTTCCATTTAGTTTTAATAATATGTTATAAAATATTGTACAGTGAGTGCTGGTATTAATAAAATAGTTCTTGATGTAAAATAACAGGGCTAAAATTTATACTAGTAATAATAAATATACATTTTGTTTTTCTCACACCATTTCAGTTGTACCAAACGATGAAGAACAATATGTATATTTATTATTATTAGTAATATGTATATTTATTATATATATATATATATATATATATATATATATATATATATATATATATATATATATATATTTCTTATTGGTATAAATGTTATGTTTAGTGGCTACATGTGTTTAAGTAGACATTTCTCTTTTTTTGAACAGTGTGATTGTTGTCTACTGGGCTAGATCGTTAAGTCTTTTATAAAGAAAATATTCCCTGTACCCCACCTCCTTATGTATCTATTTATCCCACTCACCCATGAAAGACTTTATGGCAAAGCAAAGTTCAGTTATTATTACAAAGGAAAGCACATCTTTCATTAAGATCTTTCAGATTCCGGATCTGCTAACTTTTATTTCTGCATCTAAAATCTAAATAAAGTTATTTACAAGGAATTAATGGATTTTTATTTATAATCGAACATTATTTCTTACAAATGTTATATTTAGGGGATACACATTGTGAGTAACAGAATGACAAAGACAGAAAAACATCTTGTTACATGTTTCTTCCTTCAAAGTATAAGACATGTAGCATAAGATTTTTCCCATTTTGTCACTCAATTACCCACTATTAATCTGATATGTAGAGTTGGAGAAAGAGGTGCTTTTCCAATAGAACAGAGAATTTGACCATTAAAATTTATTTACCCATAACCTACTGTCTTCTACATCAAAGTGGTCTTCTTGGGCTATGTAACAATATCATAAAAGTTAGTAGGAAAAGTTCATATTAAATACTGTTCATATAAATGTTACTCAAATTCCCAAGATGTATAGATTATACTTTAGGGGTGAGTATATAATATACTGGTGTAAAGGCTTGGACTCATAGTTAATTCAAAATGGAAATTTAATTAATGATTAAATTCTGGTTTTACCCATAACCTCTCTATTTACATTTTTTTATTTTTTTTTTTTTATATTGCTCAAAGTTTGTTTTTTTTTTTATTTTTATTTTTTTTTTTTATTTCAAATTAAAATTTGGAAATTTTCAATGTTAGTGAAATTTTCACTTTCAAAAATTTTAGTTTGTAATTATAGCATATACATAAAGGAGAAAAATATTTAAAAAAAAAAAAAGGGTATCAAAAAAACACGGCAGATATCTTTTTCATTTAAAAACTGACACATTTTTTTTTATCTACTGTATATACTCGCATATTATGTGACTTTGGAAGAACTAATTTTGAAGCTAATTTTAAGTGGGGGCACATCATACATGAGATATGAAATTAATGTATGTACTGCTGGCTCTGGCTATGCTATTGACCAAACTATAGATCAAATTACTGGAGTTGAATTAGTTCCAAAATTAGGTCTTCAAAGGTCGCATGATACATAAGTATATAATATATATATTGTGATCAGTTTGCTTAAAGTTTGTATTTTCTTGATTTTTGATGAAAACTAGAAAATCTCCCAACATATTTCAGTGGAATTTTCACTTCCTAAATTAGTTTATAACAGGGGTGGCAACATACAGCACTTTCCAATAGCATGCAGCTGCAAATGATATCATGAGTCTGAACAAATATCGACTACAACGCAAAGAAAATATTTTGCTGTTTCAATTTTAATATATACTAAAGTATCACACATTATGAAATGGACAAAGTCCGACAATTATTTTAAGACATTTTATGTTTATACATTCTTTTTATAGATACAAATATTTAAGTAAATGCTCTGTTTATAATAAACAGTATTAAACATTTACCAGCCTGAATGTCCAAGAAATTTTCATAGAAAATATTCATCCTCTGACAGGATTCGAACCTGTATCCTATACGAAACCGTCATATAGCCTGACGTACCTTTTAACCGATTTGGCCACAAAGGAGCGTTTGGTTAGCAAGGTCGAATTCAGGCCGGTAAATGTTGTTTAATACTGTTTATAAAACAGAGCATTTACTTAAATATTTGTATCTATAAAAAGAATGTATAAACATAAAATGTCTTAAAATACTAAAGTATATATACAATATATTATTATATAATATATATTGTACAACAGGTATATTGATTTTGACTAGTATAAAATTATGTATGCTATTGGCATACTGAATGATTTTAAAACCTTAAGTCGGCACATAATTACCAAAAGGTTGCCGACTCCTAGTTTATAGTTTTGACATATTGTGGATGGAGTGGGGTGTCAGTCAATTTACAAACAGGAGGATATGGATTACATCATCATTATTCCACTTTAGTCTTTACCATAAGTGTTGAAGTTAATGATTGCTTAATTAAATTTAATTTTATACTAAACCTTGTTTCCATTATAGGCTCTCTACAGACTAATAATTCTGCATTACTCAGTGTGTGTGTGTGTGTATTTAAATGAAAACTTTTGTAAATTTTAATAGTAATTCATCATTAAATCAAGTGTGATGTTTTATATAAAATTCAATTATTATTAAACTTTTGATATAAAGTAATTTTTTAAAAAATGGGAAGATTTGTGCAAAATCTTGAAAAATTTACATTGAAAATCCTCCAAGATATTGACCACTGATACTAATTTGAAGCTGTCAAATGTACCTCAGTCATAAATATAAACATGTGAAATATAACATGGGATATACATGTGAGATATAACATGGGATATATAACATGTTATATATAACATGTTATATATACATATATAACATTAAAGCATTTCAGCCAGAGAAAGTTTTTCTCTTTGAGTTTATTAGTAGAGGGCTGGTCAGTGGCTGATGCTATCTTCTGCAAGCTCTTGAATTTTTATTAGATGAAAGATTGTCAACCTTTTAGTAATTATTTACGTGGTGTTTACTCATTCTCCCATGAGAATGAGATGTGATACAAGGTTGGATTAATGTGGGGACACAAGCACGTACACTCGGGCAGGGACAAAAATATAATTATTGTCTAGTATTTCTTTTATCTAAATATAGTTGCTTTATTTCCACGATTAATAGATATATTATTTGTATTTTTGATAAAGCATTTTCAACCATATGGAATACAATATTTACACGCAGAATAATATCAGAAATTTATGTGCAGAATAATATCACAAATGGCCCAGGGGATAATGACGTTGGTTAGATCGAATGACTAGACCCAAACAGTTGTGCGTTCAATACCAGGCCATAGCAGTGGTGAACCAAAACTTGGATAGTTAAAGGGAAATAACTGAGACATCCAGAAGAGGTGTGGCACGTGGAACTAGAACACTCTACCTCCAGTTCAGTTTAAAATTCCAATCACCTGAAGAAGGCTTGAGCATACAACAGCCAAAACAGTGTGTATATGGCAATGAAGATGAGGATAATAGTCTGAATAATGTAAATAATCATAATACCTAATCTCAGAGATATATACAGATAATACAAAGGAGGTATACATTTAATAGATTATACAAAAGTGTTTGATAAGGTATGACACAAAGAACTGTTTGAACATCTAGGTAAGCTTATTTGGGAAAGATATTAGAATAATCAAGAACTTTGGGAGCAAGCTGTCTGCATATGAGTAGAAAATGTGCAAAAATAGGAAGGTGTGTAAGACAAGGATGTGTCTTCTCACCAGACTTATTAAACCTTTCCAATGAAGCAATAATGAGAGAATTAGAAGTCCCAGCAGGATTTATTTTTGGTTTGGTTTGTTTTATGGCATATCAATCTCAATGGGTTATTTAATGCCGACAAAATTTTTATTTTTTGGGGAATATTTTTCCTTAAAGAAATCTATAGCTGGTCATATTTTTTTCAAAGAATGTATAGCTGTTTGTATTGCTGGTATTTTTTTAAAAGTATTGCTGATAATAATTTTTCCTTCAAAAATTATTGCTGGTAATAATTTTTTTTTATTACAAAGTATTTCTGGTATTAAAACCTATTTTTGCACAAGTTTGGGTGTTAACTATTTACCCATAGCTGGGACCCCAATGGGTGCTACCATCCCAGGTTAGGGTGGACCTGGGAACACCAGCAATTAAGAGGTGGTTCCATGCTCCTCAGAACCTCCTGATCAGAGGCCTTACTGTTGGATGTAGTTTATTGTCTTACCCAGGACGGCATTTATTATTGGTGCCACAATCTTAACGACACAAGATATGCAGATGACACAATGTTGGCATCAAGACACAGGAAGGAAACTGCAGGAACTCCTACAGAAAGTAGTAAAGGAAAGTGAGAAAAAAGGATCAAACATCAGTTGTAAGAAAAATGTATACATTGTTATCAGGAAAAAAAAAACAGCCTAAAATGCAAACAACAAATTGGCAACACCAAAATCAAGCATGTATGAAAATTTTAATATCTAGGAAATATCTTAACAGTGGACTGAAAATGTGATACCAAAATTTGAAGGCACATTGGGATAGCAAAAGATGCCTTCCAAAAGCTAAGTAAACTATTAATAAACAGGAAAATTTCATTAGAAACAAAAAGTGCTGAACTGTTTAGTATTGATTCTCCTATATAGCAGTGAATACTGGATAATATTATCACAGAGATATGGTTCTACAGAAATATGCTGAAATTACCATGGGCTGAACATGTGACTAATGAGGAAGTTTTAAGGAAAATAGGGAAAAAAGGACACTTCTACTTTAGAATCAGAAAGAGACAGTTGAAATTTCTAGGAAAAAAAGGGCTTGGAGAATTTGACCTTCACACAGAGGAGAAACAGTATCCTACCTAATGAGCTTGTGTAAATGGATGACAGAATGGGAAGTTCAAAGGATGGCGAAAAGACAAACCTTAAGTGCTACAAAGAACAGGAAATTGTGAAAAGCCATGATTATCTACATTCTGACAAGACATGGCACATAGAAGGAGGATTATTTTTTTTTTTTTTTTACTCATCTTTCTTTTGTCTTAATCTTAATTTGTTTTTCATTGCAAATCCTCATACAGTGAGATAACTGTGATTATTAATGTTACCTTGAATTTCTACTTGATAAAACATTGCCAACTATTATTCATTTTTAGTTGCTTTATTTACACTAGTAGTAACACTATCTAGAATTTTAGTAAGATGATATCTTATCAACTGTTATTAAAACTGCTCAGACTATCGTTAGTGGCTATTAATAAAGGTTAGAAATAAGAGATAGCCTTTTGATGAGACTTGAATTTGCATCCCTTTTGATTCTAGGAGTTTGTTCAATCACTTAAGCTGCAGGAGCATTCTGATTGGCAGAAAATCTAACCACCTAAATGGAAAGGACAAAAAGAGGAAGGGTAGTAGAAAATCGATGATGTATTAGTAACTTTACATTTTTCTCTCTAAACCAATTAAGAATTAGTATTTGCCTTGGTACCTTTTTTCCTTTTTTTCTTTTTTTCTTTTTTTTTCTTTTTTTCTTTTTTTTTTCTTTTTTTTTTTTCTTTTTTTTTTTTTTTTTTCTTTTTTTTTTTCTTTTTTTTTTTTTTTCTTTTTTTTTTCTTTTTCTCTCTGTTTTTTCTTTTTTTTCTATTTTTTTTCTGTTTTTTCTTTTCTGTTTTTTTTTCTTATGTTTTTTTTTTGGTTGCTTTTTTCTTTTGGTTGCTTTTTTTCTTCTGTTTTTTTTTTTGTTGTTTTTTTCTTCTATTTTTCTTTCTTTTTTCTGTTTTTTGTTGTTTTTTCCCTTTTCTGTGTTTTTTTTGGGTTTTTTTTTCCTTTTTTTTCTTAAGTTTTTTTTTTTTTTTTTTTTTTCAGGACTTAGAAATCCTATTGACATGATGTACCATCTTCAACCATGGATGATACTGGGGCTTCTGCCATTATCAGCCACCTTTGAAGGTCAGACTCTCAAATTTCTATCAATTCTACATTTTAATATGTGTATCAAAATAATGAAATCATGATGTTCTATGCAGCAAATAACAAATTCAATCTAAATCTTTTTGAAAACATTTATTTAAAATCTTGTTTTCATTCTCATTTCTAGAACTCTTTGGACAACTAGAGTAATTGATGAAGGAGTTACTTTGTCAAGGGGAATATTAAAAAGTAGGCAGGAGATAAAAATAAGTTATTAAGAGCTATTGAAAACTAACAAAAAACAAACATTTTCAGGCATCTTTTATAAGTATTATTAGAATGTATAAATGAAATTGAAAAAAAATAATTTTCATGTAACTTGTCTCTGTAAAAATGCAATAAAGATTTTTCTTGTGCCAAAAGCTCATATTAGAACATGGAATAAAAAAATTTCTTGGGTATGAAATTTTTCATGTGTCTTTATCATAGGGCATGGATTATTATGCAGATCAATTATTAATGTACCTTTTATCTGTTAATAGTTCAGTTAAATTGTATATCTCCAACCAAGACAACAAAAAAAGTCTGACGAATCTCTACTAGTAACACAAAAATACTATATCACATGATCTATGAAAGAAAGACTGTAAATATTAAAAGCATTATATATAAAAAAAAAAAAAACAAACAAACCAATAAAATGCTCTGACATTCTCTTGAGTTTAAGTGTGATACTAGATTGGCATCTAGGTCTTACCCTTTTACTGTTGAATTATTTAATTGTAACCACCACTTCTACTCCAACAGTTTCTTTTCTCGTACTTCTCGCCTGTGGAACTCCTTCCGTTTCCTTGCTTCCCTGATAACTACAATTTTCAAAATTTTAAATGCAATGTCAGTCACTATCTTTTTGAACCTTGTTCAGCTTTTATCCTTTTCTCCTGTCCCCACTATAGCCAATCTTTTCTCTCACCTTCACTCTCTGTAAATCCGGCATTCCCAACTTGCTTGGAGTGAAATGATTAAAAAAATAAAAATTTCAAGTTTTCTCATTTTTTTTTCAGGTATCCATTTGGGTAGTACAAAGCAGGTGTTCCGGTATGATAATTCACTTGTTCTTCTGTCAAACATTGGCCTCCTGTCTTTTGGAGCATTTTTGGCATTTTTTATGGAAACAGCTGAATTTCTTCTTTTGGCTAATACTTCCAGTTTAACTCTTTCAATTGCTGGAATCTTCAAGGTTTGTCACTTTCTTATTTAACAAAGAATTTCACTGGAACTTGATATTTGTGTAGTTATTAAAAAGAACTAAACATTGATAGAAAGAAACCTAATTGTTTTTTTTTTCTCCCATCAAGATGGGAGAATATGATGTATGTATTGCTGTATGCCTATATTCTTGTATTATTATTGTTCTTGTCTTGGTTGATATAGATTTTATTATTTTAGACAATGTTTCAGCCAAGTACCCTCTGGTCATCATCAGGTGTCCATTGGTTGGCTTGATTTGGGATATCTGTTGATTATTGCGATATTCTGTCCTTGATATCATGGACTGAGCATGTGAGCAACGATGAGGTCTTAGAGAGGTTGCAAACAAAGAGAGGGCTTATATTTAACATCAGGAAGAGGCAGCTGAAGTTTCTGGGACACATGATGAGGAAGGAGGGCCTGGAGAATCTGATACTCACAGGTCGAATAAAGGGAAAGAGAGACAAGGGAAAACAATGCGTGGCATACCTGGTGGGCCTAAGCAAGTGGATGACAGAATGTGGTCTGGGGGAGGAAGCAGAGGGAAGGAACTTGTTGAGAGTTACAAGGGATAGAGGGAGGTGGAGAGCCATGATTGTCCATGTCCTTTCAGGACATGGCACATAAAAAGAAAGAAAAGATGTCAATTATTGTTCGTTTCTGAATAATCAGTGCTTCATTATTGAACTCACAACCACTAAATGACTGTAAAACATATATAATCAAACTTCTATATCCACTGCATCACTGTTCTGAAGGACATTACTTGTGTGTTTTTTGGGGCCTCACAGAGCCAAACTGTTTTATACTGCAACTATGCTAAGTGGATCCTAGTTACATTTTCTGGGAGAGTGAACATAATCTAGCATGATCAACAGTTTGAACAAAACCAGTACACTCAAACCCTCAGTCATGATGACTTGTGACTTTGTGCTAGCATAACCATTGACAGCTTCCAAACAGTATTGTCTACCCAAAAAAACTAGTGTCAATCAGTGGTGTGGTTTTCAGGTAGTTCTGAATGCTGGTATTGTCTTTTTAGGCTGATACTATCAAATAGTCACCCAGATCTCATAATAAACTGCACCCGACAACAAGGCCTCTGATTGGGAGGTTTTGAGGAGCATAAAACCACCTCTTAATTGCTGTTGTTCTCAGGTCAACCCTGACCCGGGATGGTAGCACCTACTAGAGTCCCAGCTAAGGACAAATAGTTAACCCCCGCCCAAACTGCGGTCAAAACACTATGAAAGTATAAAAATAGTTTTTTATAGTAAAAATTACCAGCAATACATTTTTGAAAAAAAAAATGTTACTAGCAATAAACCATAAACCAGACTCTTGAGAAAAAACTCTCTTTACAAAAATACATCAATGAAATCTGATCTGCAAACTGATTTTTTACAAATAATACATATTCTATTCACATGAAGCTATCCTAAAAATCTTGTTGGCATTAAATAACCCATTGAGGTTGATATGCTGTAAAACAAAATAAACCAAACCAAATCAGATCTCATACTCAGAATGCTAATGTTCTACCTATTTGGCCATGTACCTACATAATTTTTTATGATATATAAATTCTATATATTATACTAATGGTGAGTAATGCTGTTCATTTTTGTCATTCAACCATCAAAATAGAAATATTAATCAATATGAGGTTCTGAAATGAAGCATTATTCAGATTTAGTATCTCCAACATTTTTCTGTTTTCAACATAATTCGAGTGTCACAAATTGGGTCTCTTAAAAATTTATCAAATGCAACACACAACGGAAGAAGACCAGACAATGCATTGTTCAAAATGGTGTCTTTTTTTTTTTTTTTTTTTTTTTTTTTTTTTTTTTTTTTTTTTTTTTTTTTTTTTAAACCAATGAAATAACTCAATCTAATTATATTCATATCTTATCTTAAATTTTTTATTAGGTAAAGTGTTATTATCATTATTATTATTATTATTACTGTTGACTAGCAGTTACAGTTATCTTAACTTTTTAGTTGTTTTTTTTCATAGCTTTATTGTAACAGTTGATCTACAGCAATGAGTCGACAGTCTGGATCAGTAATAAAAGCTGGACTCATAGTGAAACGTACTTATGTCTCTAGCAGCTTGTGTGTTTAACTAAGCTTTCCTGAGGCAAAAGAGATTAGAGTTCAAGGGTCACTAAGACCTTATCCCTTATTTTCATTCTACAATGTCTACACATTCCTATAGATTGACAGCCTGAGAATGTTAAAATAAAAAAATGAAGATGAAAGTAAATACTAGTCAAAACTATTATTATTAATAATAATAATGTTATATATATATATTATGAAAAGTTTGACAATTATTTTAATATATTTATTGTTTATACGTTATTTTTATAGATACTAATATTTAAGTAAATGTCCTGTTTATAATAAACAGTATTAACTACATTCGCCAGCCTGAATGTCTGAGAAATGTCATAGAAAATATATGTCCTCCGACAGGAATTGAGCCTGTATCCTACACAGAACCATCATATAGCCTGACATGCTATACTATTTAGCTTCAGAGGAAGCTATCCTAAAAATAAAAATAAATGAGGAGGTAGTGTCAAGAGTGTGACTGCTGGAAGACCATATGTCTGGCAACAGGATTCTGCACCAAGCCACACAAGCAAGAGAACCCAATCATGGTTGTCAGATAATTTCCACAACCGCATCCCCCACCTTACATCTGGCTACCTAACTCCCCAGACTGAAACCCCTTGATTATTATGTGTGAGGTGCAGTTGAACATAAGACCAACAAAACTCCTTGTAATTCAAAAGATGAACTGATTATGACAGCATTCACCAACATAAACAAGGAGAGAATCCAGAAGAGTTGCAGGAGATTCCAAAGTCATCTAGAGACCATAGTTGAAGCCAATAGTGTTTTTTATTGAATAAATTTACTCTTTAGTATTTCAAGATATTTTTATGTAATTTTGATAAATAGATTTGTTAAAATGAGATGTCAATGTTATTTTTATTTCTGTGTAACTTAGACAATAATTTATTCATCGTACCATGTGTGTATATTTTATATATCTTACTTATTATAAAACGCAGATTGTGTGTGTAACGTTTATATATTGGATCGGATTTCCTACATTTTTCAACCGATTTCAACAAAACTTCACAGGACTACATAAAATTACCTTGTGGTGGTTCTAATAGCGCCAAAAATGGGAAAAATATAATTGTTTTTGCACAAAATCAATTTGAAAACACGAAAAGACATTGGAAAATGGAAAAATATAATTTTTTTGCATTCTCTTGCACACTTTTTTCTTTATTTTTAACAAAATCAAAATTTTTAAAACATTTATAATAAAATTCTATTCAATTGGGAAATGATTGAAAACAATGTTTTTGGGGACAATTCAAAAAATAAAAAAAAAAAAAACTAATTAAGACATGCGTGTCCGTCAACCTTAAACAATAATCTAACGATCTCTACTGATTGTACGAATACAAACATCGGATAAATTCTTTATCTTTAGGGAAAGATAATGAAATCTAAACATACACAAGTCCTAACGGGGAAACTACTTTAAATACACATGGTGTCCAATTTTTTTACTGTATTCAATCATAATTGTAAAAGATTATTATTACAGAAAGGCTACTAAATGAATAAGATTTGTTAGATCATAATTAATAAACCCAAATAAAGTTAATATTTTTTGTATTAGAAACAACGAGTGGAAAATATATTCAAATCAGAATTCTAATTATGAATCACCACAGGCAAAATATGCAATTTTTTTTTACTGTATTCAATAAGTAAAAATCGTAAATTGTAAAACTAAAAGATTACAGAAAGGCTACCTACATTTTTCAACCGATTTCAACAAAACTTCACTTTTTTTTTTTTTTTGGCATGTAGTGTTTCTTATTGTTTTGCACACTTTTTTCTTTATTTTTACATTCAGAATGCTTTAAAAATTCCATTTACAAGACAATTATTTATAATAAAATTCAATCGGGAGACTCATAACAATTGAAAACAATGTTTTTGTTTGAGTTTGGGTTTGACCAATTCGTAAAAAAAAAAAAAAAAACTAATTAAGACACGCGTGTCCATCAACCTTAAACAATAATCTTTGTCAATTTTATTTTTCAGTCTTTATGATGGTGGATACTTGATCTATCTCTTACTGTTATATCCCCGGGCAACGCCGGGCTCTACTGCTAGTTGTGATGATTTCTGTCTTTGTAATAGCACATCTGAATATGTTAATAAATATTAATCTTTAGCACACTGCATTATTAATATTACTCCCCTTCTGCTGCATTCTTTTTCAAGGCCTCTCAATTGCAGTATCCTTATTGTTAATTTCACTTGAAGTTGTTTTCTGTTGCCATAGCAGGATATGCCAACACAACTATGAAATTCAAACACTAATCAATCACCTTAAGTGGCAGGATAAACATTTTGTAAAACAAATGAAGTCATATACAGAGTAATAAAGATTAATGTATTAAATATATACTTTAACTGTTCTTTGTCATAAATTTATCTTAAATTATTCGTTGTTTTTGTTTTGTTTTGTTTTGTTTTTATTGGTTCATAGCCAAAATCTCAAAATGTTGCAAAAGGTATTTGCTTTTACTTTGTTAAATGTGGGGAAAGAAAACAAAAGATAAAAACTGGGTCATGCTATATGTAGGCTGTAATTGTTTCATTTAATTAAGATTAATCTTACTTTTCTCAAGCTTTTGGTAGTAGTAAGAATTTAAAGATTCTAGTATGACATTTCGGACATTTTTTTTGTAGAAGATTCTAGTAGCTTTTACTGGTCAATAATGGTTACAAACCTTGTAAGCTGTTATTAATTTGTGTGTGTTTAATATATATATATATTTTTTTTTCTTTTAAAGGAGGTGCTAGTCTTGTTTTTAGCTGCTGAAATCAACGGAGACCACATCTCCTTTATTAATGGCCTTGGATTTGGAATTTGTTTGATTGGGATGATGCTTCACATTATCTTGAAAACCATTCACAGTAAGCAAGTTTTTTAAAATTACTTATTCATTTCTTATTAATCTTAAATATCCTTTAATCTCAGCAATTTTGTCTTTATACTATTACTAGCTTAAAAGCCACCCTATCAGGTGCCATTTACGTTAGCTCATGTAGAGAGCTCTTGATTAGGCCTTTGGCTTGTTCAGGAGTTTGAGAGTCCTTATGTCTTTGCATATTCTCAGCATTGGAAACATTCCTGGCTGCCATTTGGTCTGGGTTTTCATTTGCATGGGACTTTCTTTTTCTCACTGCCGACTTAGCTCTTTTGATTTTAATCTGGTCCTCCGTTAGCGAAGATTTCTGTTTGCAAAGTATACTGCTGTTGTATGTCATAGGCAACATTAAACTACAGAAGAAATCAAAATTGACCACTGCATTTAAGTATTGCATTAATACTTAAGCTTACCTTTTAAAAGTTCAACAATAATTCTTCTGCCACCATTTTAATTTAAAGACAATTTGATGTACGTAGGTCTTTACTTTCTGTACAAACAATTTGAATTTTGCTGGATTTATTTCAATTATTCCCAAATTTATTTCCAAGTTATAAAAATTATTATTGTACAAAAGAATTTGTTGCAAAAAATCCCTTAAAAAAATCGCTGAAAAACACAGAAATGAAAACTTGGGAATCCAAAATTTCAGGATTGCCAGTTCATATCCATCCTGAAAGGTTTTTAATTTGCTAACAGTCGGCCTGATTCCAAAATGGTATGATATATTGGACTATGGCCTCTAAGTTTAACATTAAAATAGTGTGACACACTGACACTCACATTTATTTATATAAGAGATGATGAGATATTTAAAAGTTAGAGAGTTGTTCCTTTAATTGAAAAAGTGTGACACAAAGATTTTTGCATTTACTATATACATTTATACTATTAGTATAATATTTTTTTAGTATTGTTACTATATTATATAATTATATCAGGTGATCAGAAATGTTTAAGTTTTACATTCTCATCATTTTTAAAACAAAAACGAAATGTTCAAATGGTAAAAGTTCATTAAGCATTTTTAGCAGCAAGAAAGCTACACTCATTTTTTCCCTACATGATAAAACTTGAAAGAGTAATACCTACAATAGTAATGAGAAATCAACAGGGACAGACTACAGTAGGAGCTACATATCAGCATTGTAAAAATCAAATGGAGGTGAAAATTAGGAGTCAATTTCTACGAAGTAGATAGTCGTAAACATTAGAAAGTATGATACATAAATCTGGAAGTGCAAAGGAATAATAAAAATGTACCTTTTCAACTGAGCAAAGTGTTAAGGTATTGAAAACGTGTTCTTAGAAACAAAGAAAACAATGTTGGATTGCTATGGACATATTGCTCGTAATATCTAATCTTCAATATCACAGTGTATGCTGGACAAATTCATCACAGATGAAGAAAAGGCTTTGACAGATGTAGTTCTACAGATAAATTTTGAGAATAACATTCAGAGAGCATGTGAGAAATAAGGAATTACTAACGATAATTAGAACTATTGTAATGTCAGTAACATCTGTTAAGAATACAAGATTAAATTTTCTATACTTAAAAATAATTGTTTATTCACTTCTGGACTGAATCAAGGGTATGTGGTTTTGCATCTTTCTTCAAGCATTCAATCTTGTGAATCTCCTTCATTGATTGGTCATTTATATAACTTCTTGTTATCCATTTGTCTTTGTGTGTGTCCTAAGTTAGCTGGGTTCACTTCCTGTTTATCTTGGTGCACCCACTAACATCATTTGAGGCTTGATTCTGTACTTTGAAGTCACTTTCTGGGTCAACTCTCAAGCCACCTAGTTCTTTTGGTGTTCTGAGGTTACACCAAGTACAAAACTCTCCTTAGTATCCCTTACCACAAATCAACGCTTTTTAGATCAAAGGTTCCTGAGGGACATTAAATTCGATCCTTTGGTAATTCCTGGCATGAATCCCATACTACACAATAAAGAAATTGCTGCTAGCAATAAAACACAGTTGAAAATTTTTTCGGACATATAATGAAGAAAGAATGCTGAGAAAATTTAATACTCATTAAAGAAGTATAGGAAAACAGCAAATAACTTTGATAAGTTTAAGTAAATGAATGGTGAAACAAATACCACAAAACAAATAGGGGTAATAAAGGAGCAAGAATTGCTTAAGACAACAAAAGAAGTCGTGGAGAACCATGATCACCCACAAATTGAAGGGATACAACAGATAGAGAATCCAGAAATTAAAAAGCACTAAAGCAACTTAGTGTTTGGCAGTGAACAAATTAGTGACCCTATTGTTCAAAGGATTCTGAGAACTTAAAGAAATATCTTCAATCCTTTGAGCAATGGAAATCTGTCATACAAGAATGCATTTTGTAAAGAATAGCTGGTGAGCATTGATGTTAACCAAATTTGGACCTGTTTTGAATCTAATCTACTTTAAATGTCTGTCTGAATTTCTGGGATCAGGAATTATCATTATTTACATATGAACTATTGTCCTCATCTTTGTTGTTGTCATGTCAACATTTTAACCATTGTGCTCTCCAACCTTCATCAGATAACATCCAGAGAATTTCAAACTGAATCCTTTATTTAATCTATGGAGATATTGTTCTTGTTCCATTGACCATGTCTAGGGATATCTCGTCTAGTTAGTTCAGTTATTGCTTGACCTGTTTCCACTGAGTCTAAATATGCATAGCCCTGCCCAAGGATTGAACACACAATTACTGTCACCAAATTCATGAACAGGGAAATAGCCCAGTGTTGGTTATTGAATTTAGTGACATGACAATTGTTCAAACCCTAGGTTGGGCAGTGTGTACTTGTACTCAATGAAAATGGAGCATGCCATAACTGAACAGTACTAAGTAAATACTAGATGAGATATCTCTGGACACCTGCTCAATTCAGAAAGCACGCCTGTGGTTTATAGTGCAACTGAAATGAGCAGATTTATATGAGGGTCTATAATCTGCTGTGATGAATTTCTTGAACATGGCCAGCAGGTTCAAACACTTGGTCACAGTGACATGATGTCTTTGAACAGTTTTGTCTACTCAATTTCACTCAAAAGGCTTGAATCAACCAGCGTTATCAGTACCTAGATGGATGATGATCAGGTGCTGTAACCTTAGATGTGCAGGTGGCCTAATGGATAATGTCTTGGAATGAGAAATCAAAGAGCTGAGTTCCAATTCCAGTCAGGTTCATTATATTCACTCATATGCAAATAACCTTGGGAAATGTATGAATCCACCTCTCCTCCCCCCCAACTATGAGTCAAATAGTAGGACTGGTCAGAAACTCTTCATTATCTCTAAAAAATATTTGCTGGCTTTAAATAACCTGAAAAAGGTTGATAAACCTTAAAAAAAAAAAGCATATAGTATTTATGTCTATGCCTGATAGATCAGAGTTCATGAATTTGATGACATAGTAATTGTGAGTTCAATCCCTGGGTCAGGCAGTGTGTACTTGTACTCCGTGGAAATGGAGCAAGCCATAACTGAACAGTACTAAGTAAATACAAGATGAGATATCTCTGGACATAGGCAGCAGAACGAGAACAATCTACCCCTGTAGATTAAATAAAGATGATGAAATAGTCCACATATAAATATTTTAAATTTGTTAGATATTTCATTAAGGTACATAGCAATTAATGAGATTTGGTCTGTACCTATGCTGCATTTAGAAAAAAAGATACCTGTTAGAGAAATAGGTGTCTAAAAGAATCAGTAAATATACCAAAATAACTCTAGAGACAATTTTGATATTACAATGGGATCATTAGACTCTGTGAGTCTTCCAATTTCATTGGATTATTTATTCTATACAATCATACTGCCCACCATGACCTCAGTATAGAGGATATAGGATTATATAGGGATGATGGCCATATGGTTGTGAGGAATTCAACAAATTTCAAAACTGACAAAATTAGAAAATTAATATATAGAGTTTAAAAAGCTAAACTTAAAAGTAACTACCAATAAAAATCTAAAAAAAAAAAAAGTTAACTTCCTTGATGTAACCTTAAACTTAGCAAATAATATATACCAACCATATAAAAAAACAAATATAAATCTCTTACATATCCACCCAAAATCTGATCATCCCCTGCATTGGTAAAAAATCATGTACCCTCATCCATAGAATATAGAATTAGTAGTAACTCTGCCAATGAAGATGTATTTTATAAACACTGCAATTTTTATAATAATGCTTTAAAAAAAATAGTGGATATAAATGCCCTGATATTGAATACAGAAAAGATAATATTAATAACCAGAAAAAAAGAATAGAAATAGAAAAATCATTTGGTATTACCTCCATTTAACCAAATGGTTAGCTGTAACTTAGGACAACATTTTCTTGCATTGATTGAGAAACATTTTCCAAGTAATAATCCTCTAAACAAGATTTTCAATAAAAATATGATAAAATTAAGTTATAGCTGTACTGATAATTTAGAAAAAATTATAAAAAATCATATTAAAATTTTAAATAAACACTTAAACCTAAATAAAAATAATAGTAATTCAAAAATGGAAATCAATAATTTTGAAAATAAATTATGTAATTGCAGAAATCTCATAAAGTGTCAATTGGAGAATAGATGTCTTACTGAATCTGTTGATTATCAATGCACTATTTCATCTACTGAAAATCCAGATAAGAAATTTTATATTGGAAGCACAAAAAAACCCTTTAAATTAAGTTGGTACCGACATATTTCTTCCTTTAATAACAATATGTACCATAACTGAACATCCCTATCTAAATATTTTGGTAGAGAAAATCAATAAAGGCCCCACAGTAAAATGGAAAATATTAAAAAAATATAAATTTGTAAGTCCTTAAATGACCCATGCCCCCTGTGTCTACATGAAAAGCTATATATTATTATATAAAAATAATGATCTATTAAATCAGTGTAATGAACTAACTGTAACATGTACGCATTATACAATGTTTACATTAGAATATAGTTAATGGATTTTTGATAAAAAATCCGTGTATTACAATTATATATCCATTATTTTATTATATGAAATAATGGATATATAATTATATATAATATGGTACATGTAATATTTATTTAATTCCTTGATTTTTAATTTTAATATTGCCATGTACTAAGGCCCATTGAATAAAATAAATATTGTATTTTAGGTTCAAAATTATATAAAAATGATTTAATCATACCAGTGGTCCCTTTTTAAGATAGTTCTAAAATATATAAAAATAATTAAAAAAAAATAAAAATAACCTATTTTTAGAAATATACATATCTCTCAGATTATTTCTTTGTAACTTAAATGTATATTCTTAACTGGAAGTATGATGTTGTGTTTTAATGACATTTCCCTGAGACATCTATGAATACCCCCCAAATATCTAGCCTATATTTTTAACTTTTCTGCTTTAGCTTTGACCTGTCTTTTGATTCATCAAAAGAGACATACCCATAGGATTTTAAAATCTGGATCCCCGCTCCTACTTAACTCTTTAATAAGCAAACCTATTGTTTTCTGTTTTCAAAAGTAAATCATTTTCATCAAAAGTTACCGAACATTGCCTGATGATGGGATAAAATAAATTTTAAGTCTCGAAACATAGAAATTTCCATGTCGCAATGTAAAATATTTTTAAATAAAAAATGCCATTAAAAATATTATACTCTATGTTGTATTGAGCACTTTTTTTTTTTTTACAAAAGTAAATGCTAAAGAACTGTGGATTCTAAATCTGTTTGTTCTTTCTCTTCATTTGTATATATATATATATATATATATATATATATATATATATATATATATATATATATAATGTCCAAAACAAGTTTTATTAAAAAGAACCAATAAGGTCTGTCTGTTTGATTTTTATTGTATTTTTCGGATAAGGTCTTGCATTTTGTGCTTGAAGTTGTGGATAAAATGTCTGATGTTTTTATTTTGTTATTTTTGTTCAAGTACTTTCAGTTTTCATAGTCATTATCAAGAACCGATGTGGTGTCTCTGTGGTAGTTAGACTTCCTTTGTTTGCATCCTGGTTTTCTTTGAAATGGTCTAGTGTGACGTCATATATATAATGGCTATTGGGTACGAGGCTACGCAAAAAAATTGTGATTTATTTATTAATTTAATTTAAATTTTTATTTTTTATTATTATAATAAAATATGTGTGAACATTAATTATATCATATGTACTTTAAGATACCTTCTCCTGTGGTGAATGATATTTATTAAACTGCTCAGACAGTTTATCCATAACTTCAAGCACAATACTCAATTTGAAAATTGGAAAAATACAATAAAAAATTAAACCGACAGGCCTGTTTGGATGAATATTTGCTGCCTAAATATACCTTATTCATATATATATTCACATACATATATATATATATATATATATATATATATATATATATATATATAATTTTCTGTCTGTAATTTTATTGGGTTGTTTGGAAAGTTCATGCCGATTTTTAGTCATTAATGTTGCAACATGTTGGAACCTGTCAAATTTATCAACAGATATACGCTTACATTTCTGATTAGAGCACACTTCAAACTATCTCTTGAGAAAAGAAAATTTAAAATTGCTTAATTCATGTCAATTTTGCATCCCTATAAAAATGGAAGATAATAAGGTGCATTTTAGACACTTGATGTGTTTTTTTTTTTTGTTTTTTTTTGTTTTACCATAAAGGCAAAAATGCCATGCAAGCAAAGACGTGCTGTATATGGTGAAGGTGCTTTAGCTGACAGAAGTGTACAGAAGTGGTTTGCTTAGTTTAGAGTTGATGATTCTAGCCTTATTGATGAAGAACGCTCAAGCAGACATTCACCCCCCCATCCCCATGACAGATGACGACCAAATCAAGACACTAATTGAGAATAATCTGCATTAGACAACACAGGAATTGGCAGAAACATTAAATTTATCAAAACCCAGCATCCATGAGCACTTAGTCAAGCGTGGGTACTCAAATTGCTACAATGTTTGGGTACCACATGATCTGAGTGAAAAGAATCATTTGGATTGCATTTCATCTGTGATTTGCTATATGAACACAATGAAAATGCATTCTTCTTGATGCAAATTGTGATGGGTGATGAAAAATGGATTAGTTACAACAATGTTCAATGAAAAAGATCCTGAGGTAAGTGACATAAGTCAACTTTAGCCATCTCAAAAGCAGATCTTCATCCTAAGAAACTCGTGCTGTCCATCTGGTGGGGATTGGAAAAGAATCCTGTACTATGAGCTTCAGTCAAGTAGCCAGTCAATTGATTCTGGAAAGTCCTGCTCATGAATTAAAGGCAGAAATTCAAGAAAAATGCCCACAATTGGTAAACAGGAAAGGTGTTGTTTTCCATCCAGACCCCACATTTTTTTGGTGACCCAGCAAAAATTGTTGCAGCTTAGTTGAGATGTGTTACTCCACCCACCATATTCCCCAGACATTGCTCTTTTGGATTTTCATTTATTCAGGTCCTTGCAAAGTAATCTCAACAGTAAAAATTTTAATTCTTTGGATGACATAAAAAAACACATTAATGAGTTCTTTGCCAAGAAACCACCAAAATTCTGGGAAGATGGAATCTTTAAGATGAAAGAAAAATGAAGAAAGCTTTTTCAACAAAATGGTTCATATTTAGTTGAGCAAATATTTAATAGCATAATTTTGTTTTGTTTGAATTTCCCTTCAAAATCAGTATGAAATTTCCAGACGATCCAATACATTGTAGAAGTAAATTAATGAATCTAAGATTTTTAAATGATTTGACTATTTATTATCTTACATTGTAACATTATGTAATTAATGAACTATTTAAAATAATAAAAACAATGATAATGTGTTGCTTTATTAAATAATTAACCGAGTAATTATAATAGTGTATGCAAAAGAATTATGTTTATTTTATTTTATTTCAGACAAGGAACACAAGTTTGAAAGAGAAGCAGAACCCATTTCAGATGAGTTACTTGAAATGTTGACTCATGATGGTAATGCCAATGATACTGATGATGAGGAGGAAAGCATTTTCAGGCAGTCTTCCTACAGCTGACCTTTTCCACCAATTTCAGACATAAATTTGTCCCATGAATAACTGGTCAACAAAAAATTCCTTTCACTCTACAAATACAACTTAGTAATTCAAAAAGATTCTTAGAATTTGATGTTCTGGGATAAATTACTTTCATTATGTCCCACATTATGTCCCACATTTTTCATACAAATATCATCTTTGCAACTTTTATCGATCTTTTAGCAGATATATTCTTCAGTAATTGTCAGGTATATGTTGCATCTTTTAGTGTTTGTTTATGTTTTCTTTTTCATCTCAGTTTTTTGTCAGATGTGGATAAAAGAATGATACTTTTCAAGACTACCAGATGTGACATAAACCTGAGGAAGATTGAAGAACTTATTGGCTAAAATGGGATAAAACAACAAAGGTGAAGATACTTGTCCTAAAAATGTGGAATAAAGAAAGAATCTGATCTTTTTAGTTTGCTCCATCTTTATTTTCCCAGCCTGATATTTGTTTTTTAAAATGCTTGCTCATTTTAAACAAACACACACACACACACACACATTTTTATTTTATATATATATATATATATATATATATATATATATATATATATATATATATATATTGGTATTTTGTTAAACAGCCAACCAGACTATTTCTGAAAGACGGTAACATTTTTAAGGCAAGAAGTCTTTGTAATGATATAGATCAATATAAAGAAGTCTTTGTAATTATATTGATCAACCTCAAGAGTTAGGGAGTTAATAATAAATAAAATTAAATGTTCACTTATTTTGCCTCTGTTCTGAGTTTTGTTGAATTACATCATCCACCTTCCAGGAGACTTGATGTAAAATTTGATTTATTTGAATTTCCTCTTCCGTAAGACACTATTTTATGCCACATACTTATGATTTCTAAAAATAATTTCAGTTTTATAATCCAATCTAAAAATGGATGTAATTCAGCATAGATACAAGATAAGTGAACATTCAATTTAATTATTATAATTATACACACACACACACCCTCAAGTTGCTACAAAAAAACTCTGGAAATAATTTTTACACAATGATACAGGTAAAAGTGAGTGCATAGTTTCTATGAGACACTCATAAAAGGGTTAAAGAGAAAAAAATTTTTTTTTTTTTTTTTTTTTTTAATCTTTTTTCCTTTAAATATATCAATCTTTTTTTTATTTTAAATTGTATCCTTCATTTATATGCCATTTGGTGAAGTTTACAGTTCTGACTTGACCAAAGGCAACCTTGAATTGCAAGCTTCTATATATCTATAATTTTTTGACACTTTTTGTGAACCTGTGTGTTCTGACCTGCATCCTTCATATAAAAGTTTAAGAAAGGGGTTTAATAAGGTGTATACACATTTCATCCAAACTGTAAAAATTTAACTGAAATATTATGTTCTTTGAATACAATGAGTCCATAAAGACTGTATTTGGTTGATTTCCATTATTTTTTTACAAAACTAATCAAATGGAACCTATGCAAAGCAGTAAGAATCTATTTACTATTACAAGGGAGTGTTGAAAAAGCTCTCAGCCTAACCTATTTTGAAATTTTAGGCCAAATGAAAAAATAAACATCAGTAATTTTTCTTTTTTAAGGGTTTCTTGGATAGACTGAGAACTTTTCAGCACCCATTGATACAAATGTTTGCAAATTGAAAGGCAATCTAGGGAACAGTAGCATAATTTTTTTCCTTTTTTTTTTTTTTTTTCTTACTAGTAAATATTTGTTTGCATTATATATATTAGAAAGATATACAACTGATAATATTTAGTTAATTGTATTGGCTGTCTTGTTAAATCAAAACAAAATGAATTCTTCCTTGACTTCTTGGAGCCTTTACAATAATTCTTGAAATGAGGTTCAAGGAAAATAAGTAATGGTTCATTTTTAATATTATATTTTTGTGTAAGATAAATAATTCATCCTAATTTATTTTAAATTGTTTGTCAGGTGAAACAATTGTTTTTGTTTAACTGCATCTTAAAGTAATAAATAATATAAGACGTTAGTTTGAAGATGTATTTAAAAATTGACATTCTCTATTGTGCTGATTAGCAAAAGGATTAAGAATTGATTTAGTTATTTATATTTAAATATAGTTACTGATAAAAGGAAAGTGAATGAAAAATTCATTACTTCATACATAAACTAGGGATTATCTGTTATAAAAGAACTGATTTTCTGTCATGCACGATGTGCAACTTTATATGCATGTAATGTATATGCATTTGTCTGTTGCACATAAGTGACTTATGTGCTTGTGCCATTTGATGTACACACACACAGTTTGACTAAGTTTGAAATAAGACATTGGAATAATATATTTCCATCCTCAGTCTGGACAACTCTTAGCCTGAGTTGAGCAATAAAATCCTTTAATTTGATGATAAGAAAAAAAAAGTTATGTTTTTACACTTTAAAAAAAAATAGGTAATTTTAAATTTTATTAAACTTTTATTTTTCAGTAATTATTTTTTAAAGCTTTTTTATTTTAACAGAAATATTTTTATGGCTGTCATTGAATTAAAATATGTATGTATGTATGTATGTATGTATGTATGTATGCAAGCATACATACATACACACACAATTAAAATGAAAAGTGAAATCTGTGAGAGCTAATTTTTTTTTATGTCTGGTAATAACACCCGGGAAACAGGAAAAGGTTATAAGCTGAAATGTTCAGCCCTTTAAGTCCTTTTGATGACTCCTGTATTTAAACTGAATATATATTTTTTAATAAATATAGCATTTTAAATGGACAGACAATTTAGATTTGAAATTTGATCATCTTACTGTCAGTGGAGTGACTGGTAGTGAACAAGTAAATATTAAAAGAATAAAGTACACTTATTTACATATGGGTTTAAATGCTGGCTTTGGCTGTCATATGAATTAATGATAAAGTAGAAGGAAAAAAATCTGAAATAATTGTGAAATGAACTGTTTCCATACAGGAAACATTATGCATTTGTTGATGGAACAGTTAGTTCTACTGTTGGTTGAAATTTCTAAAATCCTTCCCTTAAAACAATTTTTCAGGAAAATAGGTTTCTCAACTTCACTGTTATTGCTCTTTCTAGCATTGATGGGAGCTTCCTTCCTAACCTTTTGTTTAAAGTCAAGTGAAAAGTCAGCATTATTTTGCGTTATAGTTATGTATGCAATCCATTTTAGTTGCTAATTCTTTGAAGTCTTTAAATGAATTGTTCTTTGCTATTCTGTAGCACCAATCTGTTAGATCTGATGAAAGATTGTCTTTAAGAGATTCATTCAATTAAAGCCATTTTTAATCATTGATCTGAGAAAAATATAAGATTAAAAGTTTTTAATTTTGTATGTTTGTATTTAACCTTTGAGTAGCTGCATTCTAGCCAGTGGTATTTAATTAAAGTGCTACTAAAATACACTTATCTTAAAAAATGTTAAAAAATATATATATATATATGGATGATTTGCAACCTATATGATTATATAAGTTGCAAATCATATGAACTTGAAAAAAAAAATTTATTTCAAGGGAGATAACTCTTAAGTGTTCATTATAGACGCTTATTTATTTTCAAAAAAATCTGTGTCAAAAAGATTAGCTCCTTTTTTGTAAATAATAGACAAAAAGAAGCCTAATTTGTGAGGGAATGAATTTGCTAATAATTCTTTTTCTATCATAATTTTTATATCATAAGGTTCACAGTGATTCTTTGCTTAGCTTCCATCTTTGATGAGGGTCAGGGACTATGGACAATAGTCTGATTTTGGAATTCAGACTTGCCAATCATAGCTAGAGTGTATAGTTAAATCTTGCTATTTAACCCATAGTTGGGTGGGGGGAAAAGTTATGGATTCCTGCCTTTCTCAAGAGTATTTGGGTGCAAGTGAATGTAATGAACTCAGCTGAAATTTGAACTCTGCTCTCAGATTTATCATTCTGAACCAGTATCCATTACACCACCCACACATCCATTTATGTCCATGACTTTCATAAGGAAAAAAATGTGACATTAGTGGGTCCTGAATCCTCTTCTGTATATTATTTGGAAGCTGACTACTGAGCCACAGCTCATCCACCTTCATCACAAGAATGAAACTAGGCCAATTGAAGGGTTTCCAATAAGATGACTAAGGTGTCCCATCTACCCCATTTTTGAAATTGGTAATCCTTCTGCTAGACAGACTGCCAATAGAGGCTAACATGTTCTGTCTTGCTGTCCTAATGATTCTAATGAAATAATTTTACTATCTGCTCTTTAGCCATATCACATTGAAACATTGGTTCTTGTATGATAACTGAAGTTAAGCAACATCAGCACCAAGATGAGTGATCATTTGGAACACCAGCTTGGATGTGTGGCTGGCTTCATGAATAATGGCTTGAAATTGGAAATTAGAGAGCCAAGTTCCAATTGCAGTTGGGTTTGTTATATTCACTTACATAAGAATCCCCTTGGAAAAGGTATAAAACCACTTTCTCCCCCCCCCCAGCTATAGGTTAATTAATAGGACTTGTATCAATAAATCATTATCCCCAAAGTTTCTTACAATCTAAAAATATTCTTTTTAAATAACTTACAGTGGGTTGATAAACCATAAAAAACAATCAATATCTGCACTTTATAAATATTAAAGAGCATATATCTATCGTAATTAACATGCAAGTTTTGACATCTTCATGAGGGACATAATGTTGATTTTGTCTAATATTTACAGACCCAGTAGTGTTCATAGAATAATCTACAAGTCATTTTAACTTGATAAAAATTCAAAGAAGCCTTGCTGTAATGGTTAATGCATTTGACTAACTGACATTTACTACTATATTACTATGTAATGAATGATCTTCATTTGGTGTAATATAACTGCAGTTTTGTACCTGACTAAACTTCTTTTTTTATTTCTTTCAAGCCCCTTGTGTAGCATAGGACTGCAGATCACAGGAGTACTGCAATTTTAATACCAAGTGAATTTTTTGTAGTACCGAATTCACCAACACCAAAACTG